GTGACATCATCACTATTAGCAGCTGTGGCGACGTCACCCGCAGACCCTGCCTGCTCAAGAATTGGTGAACGTACGCCTTATTAGGATGAGCAATCCTGTTTACGATTGTTGTATAAAAATGTCGAAGATCCCAACAAAATCCAAATCTTTGATTGCACAAACAAACTAGCATCTGCAAAAAGTTTTTCTGACCATTGAAAAATAAACAATTCTCGTCAAAAATCATTTTCTGTAACTTGAAAACATTACCTACGTATTTTAAAAACTGCTGTTTTTGTCACTCGTTAAACAATAAACATTTGTCCGCACCTGTTAGGAAAATCTAACCCAAACAAAATAATATACTTTGACATCAATTTGGCAACACAGCACTCCTTGCCTTAACCTTATAGAATTGTTTTGGCGCTACCACCAAGCTCTTGTAACAACTTTGGACTATACTTATCTTTGGTATGTTACATGTCGGTGGGTCAAATTTATATTCGCTCCTTGAGATCCCCTCGGACCTTAAGGAATGCTTGGACATTTAGAATTGACTTGAGAAACTTATAAAAAAGCAACAAAGTGTCCATTCTAAACTAACGAGCCTCAAGGAAGGTCTATAAATTTTGCCCTATAATAATCTGCCTCAACTTCTATATCAAAGGGATATGCGCATGCTCCTCTTCTGATTTTGACAATTTTTTCCTGAAGTTAATAGGTTGTCTGGTAATGGGTAACTTGATGACGCATCTGGGGTGCGTTATGGAGATTTGCGTTATGTTGAAATACCCCAGATGATGTCATAAAGTTATCAAGCAGCCTAGCTCTTTCCCCGGCTCTTTCAAACAACTGTGGACTATACTTACCTTACCTCGTTGAGGCTGCGGGTTAAGGGTCAGATACGGAATGACTACAAGACTTTTTTACTTAATTCGGAACGAAATATTAGTAATGATCCATCCAACTTTTGGGCTTTTATATCTAGTAAAAGGGGCCAATCTAGAATTCTGGGCATGGTTAGGGATGCTGGAAAGTCAACATCGTTTTTGATAACCCTCAAGATATTGTTAATTCATTTGCGAGATTTTTCCAGAGTGCCTATATTGATTCAACTAATGCAAATATAAACCCCAACTTTAATAATGCTCCTTACATAGATATATCAGAGATCCATGATCATGACGTAATTGCAGCAAGCAAAAAACTAAAGGACAAGTTGACATCTGGTGTTGACGGCATACCGAGTTTTCTGGTTAGGGATTGTGTCTATGCATTGGCTGATCCTTTAACTTATATTTACAATCTAATTTTGTCCACGAATCAATTCCCAGAGATCTGGAAAACTGCTCGCGTCACTCCTATTCTGAAGAAGGGTGATGCTGGTCTTGTCACAAATTACCGGCCGATTTCTTTACTCTGCAACTTCTCTAAGATATTTGAAATCATTTTATATAACAATTTATTTAATAATGTCAGGAATGTAATTTCGATCGATCAGCATGGATTTGTTAATGCCAGGTCATGCATGACTAATCTATCATGTTTATCAGAAAACGTATGTAAAACACTTGATTCTCTAGGTCAGGTGGACGTGATATATACAGACTTTCAGAAGGCCTTTGACCGTATAGATCATTGTGTGTTGCTGAACAAGTTACAGGGATTTTGGCTTTCTGAACGGCTCACCAAAGTGTTTAGGACATACTTGTTGGGTCGTACTCAGTTCGTAGAAGTTGAGGGTTTCAAGTCACAGGCTTATGTTGCAACGTCTGGAGTTCCACAGGGCTCTAATCTGGGACCGCTTCTATTCAAAATGTTTATAAACGATCTTCTGAGTGCGATCACATGTAATAAGCTGGCTTACGCCGATGACTTGAAGTTTTATCACAATATAAGCAATACCGATGACTGTGTTTTTCTTCAGGACAATTTGAATACTTTGAGTCGTTGGTGTATTGATAATAATTTAGGCCTTGATTTGTCAAAGTGCAACATTATCAGTTTTTCTCGATTAAGGGCACCACTTGTGTATGCTTACACTATTGACGGAACTGCTTTGGACCGACTTGATCAGATAGCGGATCTTGGAATCATATTTGATGATAAATTCACTTTCATTCCTCAATTAGACAACCTCACACGGTCGGCCAATCGCATTCTATGATTTATAATCAGAAACTCTCGAGACTTTAGAAACGAATCGACTATTAAATTATTATATTACTGCTTTGTACGTTCAAAACTAAATTAGGGGGGCATCATTTGGAACCCTATTTACGCATGTCATGATTGTCATGTGAGCTCGGTGGAGTCGGTTCAGCGTAGGTTCCTGAAATATCTTGTTTTTAAGTGTGACGGGGTGTATCCGAAGAGAGGATGTGATAACAGGGTTTAGCTCACGCGTTTTGACGAGTTATCCTTATTTATTAGACGAAAGATATTATTGATTAAATTTTTGTTTAATTTGTTCCACAATATAATTGATTGTCCTTTCCTTTTGTCTAATATTAGCATTCTGGTACCTCGTTTGAATGCCAGACGCTCACTAACCTTCTTTCTCGATACTCCCTGGACAAATGTGTTATTCCAGTCACCATTATACATGATGTGTTATACTTTTAACGGGATCTGTGATATCTGCGATATTTATAACAGCCCTATTAATTTAATTGTTGAAGAGTTAGTGAGAACACATACCTAACTCTACTACAGAGGCAACCTTTTTATACCTTTTTTTTTTCTCTTCTCTCTAATTTAATTTTTAATTTAATTTTAGTTAATTTTTCCTTTTTTGTTATTTTGCAATTAATATTGATTTTCTTGTAATTGGGCTTCTGGCCTGTTGGAAATAAAGACTTATTATAAAGACTTAGACCTATCTTCGGTATGTTACATGTCGGATCAAATTTATTTTTGCTTCTTGAAATCTCCTCGGACACTAAAGAAGGCTTGGACGTTTAGAATTGACTTGAGATATTTATTAAAAAGCAACAAAGTGTCCATTCTAAACTAACGAGCCTCAAGGAAGGTCTATAAATTTTGCCCTATAATAATCTGCCTCAACTTCTATATCAAAGGGATATGCGCATGCTCCTCTTCTGATTTTGACAATTTTTTCCTGAAGTTAATAGGTTGTCTGGTAATGGGTAACTTGATGACGCATCTGGGGTGCGTTATGGAGATTTGCGTTATGTTGAAATACCCCAGATGATGTCATAAAGTTATCAAGCAGCCTAGCTCTTTCCCCGGCTCTTTCAAACAACTGTGGACTATACTTACCTTACCTCGTTGAGGCTGCGGGTTAAGGGTCAGATACGGAATGACTACAAGACTTTTTTACTTAATTCGGAACGAAATATTAGTAATGATCCATCCAACTTTTGGGCTTTTATATCTAGTAAAAGGGGCCAATCTAGAATTCTGGGCATGGTTAGGGATGCTGGAAAGTCAACATCGTTTTTGATAACCCTCAAGATATTGTTAATTCATTTGCGAGATTTTTCCAGAGTGCCTATATTGATTCAACTAATGCAAATATAAACCCCAACTTTAATAATGCTCCTTACATAGATATATCAGAGATCCATGATCATGACGTAATTGCAGCAAGCAAAAAACTAAAGGACAAGTTGACATCTGGTGTTGACGGCATACCGAGTTTTCTGGTTAGGGATTGTGTCTATGCATTGGCTGATCCTTTAACTTATATTTACAATCTAATTTTGTCCACGAATCAATTCCCAGAGATCTGGAAAACTGCTCGCGTCACTCCTATTCTGAAGAAGGGTGATGCTGGTCTTGTCACAAATTACCGGCCGATTTCTTTACTCTGCAACTTCTCTAAGATATTTGAAATCATTTTATATAACAATTTATTTAATAATGTCAGGAATGTAATTTCGATCGATCAGCATGGATTTGTTAATGCCAGGTCATGCATGACTAATCTATCATGTTTATCAGAAAACGTATGTAAAACACTTGATTCTCTAGGTCAGGTGGACGTGATATATACAGACTTTCAGAAGGCCTTTGACCGTATAGATCATTGTGTGTTGCTGAACAAGTTACAGGGATTTTGGCTTTCTGAACGGCTCACCAAAGTGTTTAGGACATACTTGTTGGGTCGTACTCAGTTCGTAGAAGTTGAGGGTTTCAAGTCACAGGCTTATGTTGCAACGTCTGGAGTTCCACAGGGCTCTAATCTGGGACCGCTTCTATTCAAAATGTTTATAAACGATCTTCTGAGTGCGATCACATGTAATAAGCTGGCTTACGCCGATGACTTGAAGTTTTATCACAATATAAGCAATACCGATGACTGTGTTTTTCTTCAGGACAATTTGAATACTTTGAGTCGTTGGTGTATTGATAATAATTTAGGCCTTGATTTGTCAAAGTGCAACATTATCAGTTTTTCTCGATTAAGGGCACCACTTGTGTATGCTTACACTATTGACGGAACTGCTTTGGACCGACTTGATCAGATAGCGGATCTTGGAATCATATTTGATGATAAATTCACTTTCATTCCTCAATTAGACAACCTCACACGGTCGGCCAATCGCATTCTATGATTTATAATCAGAAACTCTCGAGACTTTAGAAACGAATCGACTATTAAATTATTATATTACTGCTTTGTACGTTCAAAACTAAATTAGGGGGGCATCATTTGGAACCCTATTTACGCATGTCATGATTGTCATGTGAGCTCGGTGGAGTCGGTTCAGCGTAGGTTCCTGAAATATCTTGTTTTTAAGTGTGACGGGGTGTATCCGAAGAGAGGATGTGATAACAGGGTTTAGCTCACGCGTTTTGACGAGTTATCCTTATTTATTAGACGAAAGATATTATTGATTAAATTTTTGTTTAATTTGTTCCACAATATAATTGATTGTCCTTTCCTTTTGTCTAATATTAGCATTCTGGTACCTCGTTTGAATGCCAGACGCTCACTAACCTTCTTTCTCGATACTCCCTGGACAAATGTGTTATTCCAGTCACCATTATACATGATGTGTTATACTTTTAACGGGATCTGTGATATCTGCGATATTTATAACAGCCCTATTAATTTAATTGTTGAAGAGTTAGTGAGAACACATACCTAACTCTACTACAGAGGCAACCTTTTTATACCTTTTTTTTTTCTCTTCTCTCTAATTTAATTTTTAATTTAATTTTAGTTAATTTTTCCTTTTTTGTTATTTTGCAATTAATATTGATTTTCTTGTAATTGGGCTTCTGGCCTGTTGGAAATAAAGACTTATTATAAAGACTTAGACCTATCTTCGGTATGTTACATGTCGGATCAAATTTATTTTTGCTTCTTGAAATCTCCTCGGACACTAAAGAAGGCTTGGACGTTTAGAATTGACTTGAGATATTTATTAAAAAGCAACAAAGTGTCCATTCTAAACTAACGAGCCTCAAGGAAGGTCTATAAATTTTGCCCTATAATAATCTGCCTCAACTTTAAATGTCAGAGGGATTTGCGCATGCTCCTTTTCCGAATTTGACAATTTTGACAGACTGAAATAATAAAACCTTTCTATTCGTTAGAATCATTGAGTCGACTAATCTTATTTTGGTATAAGCCCGGGTAGCTCAGTCGGTAGAGCATTGGACTTTTAATCCAAGGGTCCAGGGTTCAAGTCCCTGCTCGGGCGAAACTTTTTTTTTGTTTAGAAATTAGAAAAAAATTTGGACTAGAATCTCGTCGATTGATAATCTGATTTTCGGGGAAAAATCCAATATCTTCTTCATCTTCAGGTTCGGTTAATACTTTATTACACCATAAAATTTGGTAAAATAGATGTAATTTCGAGAGAAGTAGATATCCACTGGTCAAAGTCAGAAAGTGAATTGTATAAATGTATCATTTACATAATAAGTGAAAAAAAAATTACAATAATTATTATATTAGTACGTTTATTTTAAGGTAATGGGTTTTGCAAGTACAAAATACGCAAACATCCAAGACGATTGGCCAGATATCCAATACTTCTTTGCCCCCTACAGTGACAGTTCCGATGGAGGTTTGTTCAGTAAAAGAGCAGTCGGTCTCAAGGATGAAGTATTTTCAGCCGTTTTCGAAGAAAACTTATACAAAGAATCATTTACAGTGAGTAAACAATTTTATTTTTCTAGCAAAAAATATTTGAAAAATTTCAGGTAATTTCTTTGTTGATGAGGCCCAACAGTAGAGGAAGGATATTTTTGAAAAACAAAAAGCCAGAGTCTAAACTTATAATTTATCCGAACTATTTTGATGATCCTTATGACGTTAAAGTGTTGGTAAGAATATTAATACTACTTGGTTCTATTTACCAACTGATCAATAATTTGAACTGTCCTAAGAGTTCACAGTTTCAAAACACTTATGTTACTGTAGGTATGAAAATTAAAACATAAATATATCTTCGTCAGGTCGAAGGTGCAAAACTAGCACACAAAATAGCCACCGAAACTCCGACAATGAGAAAATACAATGCCAGATTCAACCCTCTAAAAATGCCCGGATGCCAACATTTGGAATTTTTATCTGACGAATACTGGACTTGCTTAGCCTACCATTACACCCTAACAATCTACCATCCTGTGGGTACTGCCAAAATGGGTCCTGATAAAGACCCTATGGCCGTTGTGGATCCTAGATTGAGAGTCAGAGGTAGTTTGAGTGATTTTTTTTAAATTTGTTTCATGATCCATCATTTCAGGGGTGAAAAATTTACGGGTTATCGACTGCAGCATAATGCCTTACATTCCAAGTGGAAATACCAATGCTCCAGTTATAATGGTAGCTGAAAAAGCGGCTGATATGATCAAAGAAGATTGGGGAGTTTTATATCCTCCAGGTTATTACAAAATGATACAAAAATAAAATGCAAACATTGCTTGTTTTGTTTTAGAACCATACGGACCACGCCCAGAGTTTTACGAGCGCCGAGAAGCTGAAATTAGGCAAGGACCCAAAGACACAAGTTCCCATTTTGATAAAGATAGGATTGTTGAACCAAACCATCAAGTAGTGATGGAGAAAACTCCAGTTATAAATCCAACCTAAATAAATATTTCCCCACATCTCTCTCCATGTTCTTGTTGACTTTTTTTGTTGATATTTGAAGATGAAACAATCCAGAATCATTCGGAAAACGTCTACGTATTATACTTACTTCATTACAGCAGTGATGAATTTAGAAAATTTATAATTGGATACAGATGGTAAATATGCGGAATGTTCCTAGCGTAAGTGCATACATTATTGCTGTTGTTGGATCACTACTTGCCAGTCTTGGAACTTACTTCTCCAAAAAAATAAAATGTATCATTACTGCTAAACAAACTGTACCAGAAATGTTTTATTGGCCAAAAGAACAAATACTGAAAACAAAAATTTCGTTTATAAACATCAAATAGATACATTTCATTTATGGCTCGGTGAAATTCTTAACATAATTCTTAATCCATTTTTCCTTCAAAATTTCATTCAGCTTAACAGCCATAGCCGCATCCGACGCCACCGTATTACTCAATCCCGGATGCGGTAGGATACTGGAATCGCATACTCGCAAACATCTGATGTACCTAACTTCAAAATCTGCCTTTACTACGGCACTACTGTCACATTCCGGACCTCTTTTCAGTGACCCTGCTATATCCGACGTGGGATAGACCATACTTTTAATGTAGCACTTGACATAGTGGATACTACAAAACGCGTAGTTTCTACAATCCGGAACAACTATATCCATAAATTCAATGTTGAGTTGTTGAAATGTTGGACTGTCTTGTAGTTTGTTGACTCGACTGAAAGCATTGGTTAAGGCTAATAAATCACTTCCAATTGGATCACTAAAGAAATGTCCTTCGATGTTGGGGCTGCCATGAAAATGAGTATCATTGAGCTTCACTTCACCAGTTGACTGCGGTCTTAACAACGTCAAAGTTAGCATTATAATTACTTGTTTTTCATTCGCTTTCATGATGTTTGTAACAATTTTTGGGTCTAAAGACAGTCCCTCCAACCATATTTTTAACATTCTGTCGCCTATTTTGAAATAGTTATGAAATACAGCTATGTTTGGTATATTAGGATAGGGTTCCGTGGACATAAATGCTACTAGATCGTTTATACCAGTATGTGAAAAATTGCCAATACGATACATAACGTAATTGAAAGTGTCTTGAATAAAATCAGTTTCTGTTTGATCCTCATTTAAGTTTGATGTAAAAAATAGTGGCACTGCCAAATGGAATTTCAAATTCTTGCCAACGCCAGGCATGTTTAGTACAAGCGGAATTTTTCTTTTAAGTAAGTAATCTCTTGGGCCTATGCCACTTAGCAATAGTAATTTGGCGTTATTTATAGGTCCGGCTGTTAGAATAAGTTCTTTACGAGCTTGCACAAAAAAATTATGATTATCGAGAGATACATTTACACCTTTTACCCTTTTGTCTAGAGGATCGTTCATAACAATTCCTTGAACCAAAGTGTTCTTAGCAAGGAAGAAATTCGAACGAATTTTGAGCGGCGTCAAAAAGGCTCTGGCCATGTGGTGTCTTTCGCCGTCTTTTATAGTTAAAGGAACATGTCTGACACCCAACAAAGATTTTTCGTGAGCTTCACTGAGTCCCAATTCGTGGTAGGCCGCAATCAAAGTTCCCCTCAAAGCTGTATTATTTTGTAAAACTTTTTCCAGGTGAATTTCTCCTTTTGGAACATTTGTTTTCTTTTTGGGTGCGTCAGCGTAGTTTTCTATGCTTTCATAGAGAATGTCGGTTTTGTTATCATCTTCGTAAACACCTAAAATATTATAAGTGAATATCAAACAATAATATAGTTATTAACTCTATACCTCTCAAATAATGCATATTATTTATGGCACTAGTACCTCCGACTAGTTTACCCCTATACATACGACATTTTTTGTCTTCATAGCCAGTACAAACTGTTCTATCTTTCTTGAGAACATATTGCCATATATCGGATCCAGATGGGGCGAATGTCGGGTAAAATGCAGGAACCTCAATAATAGTTAATGTATTATTTCAATGAGATTTTAATATTTAACTCTTACTGCAGTGGTTCGTTGTGGATAATCTCCAGCCTCGATAAGAAGCACACTCCAATATTCCTGTTCCGATAGTCGATTTGCAAGAGTACACCCCGCGGCACTAGCGCCAACAATAATAAAATCAAACACCGCTATGTCTTCCTAAAGAAGTGACGTTGAATTTTGGAATTATTGTATTAGGTACTTACATTGACCAACTTAGGAGCACTATCCTCGGGGTATTGACTCAGATGGCCGATAAATTTTATATTGAAGAACAAGCTGTTGATCAAAATTAGGAACGCATTAGCCAATGCACCTTGTACGGGGGTGATGTCGTATGTTATAAGTCCTACAGACGGCATATTATTTCAAAATTTGAAACGATAATTTTGAAGAAGTGGTGCATTTAAATTGATTGAAAGTTCCAATTCTGACAGATAGTTTGACAACTGCTGTGTTGTCAAAATGTTGAAAAAAGTGTGTTCAAAATTAGTAAACGATGATGGGTTCGAAAATTGAGATAAAACTCATCTTCCTAGGCCATAATTATTTTGGAAAAACAAAATATTGTTTGCTGCCTACCGTATCGATAAATTATTTTATTTTAATCGACCTCTTGAGGTCTGGCTTTAAAAATAGACCAGAAAATGAGATTCACAAAACCCTATAACAGGTTATTCAAGGAAGTTCGACACAAGTAATCCAATATTGAAATTCTAGATTAGGATATAGTCAAATTAAAAATGGCATTAGTTAAACATTTCATGGAATAAACCAACTTTGGTGACTATGTTGTATTAATATTTCTTTATTCTGCCACACAGAAAATATTTTTTATCAAATTTTTCATATTTAATCGATCTCATGAAGATTCGAAACAAAGTAATGGACTCTAACAAGCAAAATAGACTGTAGAATACTAGAGGTTTGAATCAGAATGGTGATTATAGCTGGACCAAGTCCATTCAAGAATACTAGACTTTTGAACATTTGCCACTCGTTCATAAAGTAAAATTTAGAGGAATACCCCAGGGAAATGGGAAATTAGACTTCCTCTGCGGAATGAGGCCGAACAAGCTGAATTTTTGCAGAGAGCTTCGTTTTGATGTTCTAATGAAGCACAAAAAAACCGAATATGCCTACTCTTGTGCGTCTTGAGATATCGAAGGTCAAAGGTCACGAAAATCGTTTTTTTAACGAAAATCTCGCTTCCAGGGCATCTGACGTCGAAAAATCCAAAACAAAACTTATATAAAATAGTATTTTCTACAAAATTGTTCACATACATTTTTTGTACGACCAACCGTTTTCGAAATATAGCGTGATAAAGCAGGAGCGCGCATTCAAAATAGAAGATACTCGAGTAGATACTGTATTATACAGGGTGCCCCCATTCAACTGGTCAAAAATGCTAGGGTATATAGAGGAACCATAGAGAAGTAATTTGAGATAGGACACCGATGGTCGAAAGTATGTCGTTTCTAAAATACAGGGTGTTGAAATTTAAACAACCCCTCGAGGGGTGGTTAACTCTTTAAAATATGTACACAGATCTTGAATCTAAAACGGCCATTAGAGATCCCTCGGAGATCCTAAAGGATTTTTAGAAATTTTAACGGATTTTTGAGGATTCCACAAGATTTTTGAAAATTTTGAAGGATTTTTTTTAGGAATACTTACATGTTAATGATTTATAAGATTTTGCCGGATTTTTTTTGTTCTAATAAAATTTTGTGTGATTTTGTGAAATTTTATGCGATTTCAAGTGATTTTTGAGGGATTTTGTGAGGTTTTGTTAAATTTTTTAAAGATTTTCAGGGATTTTAAATATATCTTACAAGTTTTTCTGGACTTGTACACAGATTTTGACCAATCAACCGCTGCGAGGTTTAGTTAACTCTTATAACGAGAGGTTATTCACTAAGGGAAAAATATGACAAAATTTCGGATTTAGAGCGATTTTGAGGGATTTCGGTTGATTTCGAAGGATTTCGGGTGATTTTGGAGGATTTCGGGTGATTTCAGAGAATTATAGGTGATTTCGCAAATATTTTAATTTGATTTTAGACTGTTAACTTATCTTATAAGTATTATCGAAAGTGTTAGAATAAACTGAAAAACGGTCGCGTTGACCGATTTATGAATTTTGGGCTAATTGCGAGGGATTTTTGGGTCTGCAGAGTGAAAGATTTCGGAGGGATTTCGGCGGATTTCGGAGGGATTTCGTGGATTTCGGAAGGATTTCGGTAGGATTTCGGAACGATTTCTGGGATTTCGGACGAATTTGTGACACGATTTCGGGGAGTGATTAACCCCTCGCTCTATAAAATAATGAACACATATTTTAAATCTTAATTGATTTTGTAGGATTTTGGGAATTTTGAAAATCTTTACAGGATTTTACAGGAGTTCAAAAGATTTTAGATTTTCAAAATTTTAGGTGATTCTGGAGCATTTTTGGGGTTTTTGAAAAGTTTTTAGAGATTCTAAATTCAAATGACAAATTTGAATGGAAAACCGGAAATTCCTAGACATTTTACTATGGAATTTTATCATAAAATTCAATGAAATTCTTGGAACAAAAATTCCTCGAAATTACACTACTTCTGAGATTTAATGAAATTCTTTGGCATTTCACTAAAATTTCAAGTTATTCCATGGGAATTCTGCAAAAATTTTTGGTAATTCTGTAAAATTCCTTAGAATTTCACTAGAAGATTTTATGGAATTCCTCGAAATTCCATTCAAATGACAAATTTGAATAGAGAAACAGAAAGTCCTAGTAATTTTACCATAAGATCTCATAATACTTTTCCGAATTTCACCATAAGGATTTTTGGAATCCCTCCATAAAATTCAATGGAATTCTTGTACAAAAATTCCTCGGAATTACAGTAAAAGATTTCATGATTCCACTTGAATTTTATGTAATTCGACAGAAACTACTCAGAATTTCACTAAAATTTAATTCAATTTTTCGGAATTCCGCCGAAATTTCTCGTGGTTTCATGGAAATTCTGTTTAATTCCAAGGGAATTCTTCGGATTCCATGTAATTTCACTGGAACTCCACAATAAGATTTCAAGGAATTCCATGTATGTAATTCGACGAGAATTCCTTGGAATTTTACTCGACATTTCATCGAAATTTTATGTAAGTCGACACAAAGTGAAATTATATATAATTTGAACGAAATTCTACGAATATTTCATAACTTTTTTTTTCGAAATCCCACTGAAATTTTCCAAAATTCTATAGAAATTCCAAATTCCATAACTTTTTTGAAACTTCACTGAAATTCTCCAAAACTTCACCACTGAAATATCCTGGAATTCCACAAAATTTTCATAAAATTACTCGGAATTTCACTGACATTTCCTGTAATTTCTTAGAAATTCCTCGGAATTTCACTAAAATTTTATGAGAATTTTTTGAAATTTCACTGAAATTCCACGTTGTTATTCGAAAATTTCTCAAAATCCCAATGAAACAAATTTTTTTTCAAAATTTAATTTATTTCCATAAGAATTTTTCGGAATTTCACTGAAATTCTCTTTCAATAGTCAGGAATTTCTGGGAATATTAATGAAAGTTCAAGTAATTTCTTGAAAATTCACCGATATTCCTCCGAAATATTTATATTGAAATTTCATATTATTACATGGGAATTTTTCCAAATTTCACCGAAATTCCAATTTTTTAGCCGGAAATTCCGATGGGAATTTTTCGGAATTTCAATTTCACTAATATGCCATGTTTTTAACTGGGGATTCCTTGGAATAAAAATAAAACTTCATGTAATTACATTAGGATTTTTCGGAATTTCACTGGAATTCCTTATGAAACGATAAGAATTGTTCAAAATTCCACTTAAATTTCAAGTAATTCCCTGACAATTCCTTGGAATTCCATGCAATTGCATCGGAGCTCCCTATAATTCGACGAAAATTCCTTGGAAATCCTGTAATTTTTTGAAATTCTTTATGTAGGTAATTTCTTTATGTAATTTCGGTGTAATTCAATGTAATTGTTTAGAATTCCTCCATGCAACTCATTCAGGATTTCATGTAATTCGATTGAAATTCCACTGAAATTACTTGTAATTTCTCGAAATTTCATGTAATTCGAGAAGAACTGAAATTTAATGTGAATTCTATGGAAACTCCGCAAAAATTTCACATGTCACATTTCACACCATAAAATTCAATGGAATTCTTGGAATATTTTTTTCTTCGGAATTACAATATAAGATTTCATGAAATTCTTCGAAACTCCACTAAAATTTCCAGTTATTCCATGTATGTGTTCAAAATTAGTGGACGATGAGGGGTTCAAAAGTTGAGATAACACTTATCTTCCTGCGCCAGTATTATTTTGGAAAAACAAAATATCTTACTATTGTTTGCTGCCTACCGTATTGATAAATTATTTCATTTTAATTGACCTCCTGAGATCTGGCTTTAAATAGACCAGAAAATGAGATTCATAAAACCCTATAACAAGTTATTCAAGGAAGTTTGCCACACAAGTAATCCAATGTTGAAGTTCTGGATTAGGATACAGTCAAAATAAAAAAAGCATAAGTTAAACATTTCATGAAATAAACGAACTTTGGTGACTATGTTGTTTAAATATTTCTTTATTCTGCCACTCAACATTTTTCATCAAAATTTTCATACATAATCAATCCCTTGAAGATTCGTAACAACAAAGTATTGGACTCTAACAAGCAAAATAGACTGTAGAATACTAGAGGTTTGAATCAGAATGGTGATTATACCTGGAGCAAGTCGATTCAAGAATACTAGGCTTTTGAACATCTGCCACTCGTTCATGAGGTAAAATTTAGTGGAAATAAGCCATTTCTAAATACAAGCTGGGAATTTTGATTTGTAAAGTATTCGATATTTAAATTACCTGAACGAATAACTACATATTATGTTGGTTTAAAGTAAAAATGCCTATTTGAATAAAAAAACTATTAAAACTTATCAAGTTGCAAATTGATTTTAACACTTTAATAGCCCCTATTACAGTATCCATTGCAATGGTTACGCCAGGGACCAATTTTTTTTTCCGAATCCATTATGGCTTCTATACTAATTCATTTTTTCGCAAATGAAAAATTGAAAACTGCATCTTTATTACGCAAATTGGCTACTTACAAAATGGACGTTTCGTAAAAAAAAAGTAATCGTAATATGCATAATTCTGCAGTAAAAATGTGGTCGATTGCATGGCGTATTTTATGTAATTTTTAATATATTAACAATGACTATTACCATAATTATCATATTTAATAAGTTTTTGATCATTCAATTTAAACGCTTACTTTCTATTGAATGGAAGACAAATTTATGCATATTGTTGTTATGTAAGAATTTTTTGGCAATCAACATATTATTTCTAAGACTCAATTATGTCATGCAATAATGTATTTTGATGATGTTCAAAATGTCACATAACTAACTAATAAACCAAAATAACTTAACGAATCTATGCAACAATATTTCAAATTGTAACAAATAATAATTAAACTTCAATTGAAATACCAGCACTACGACGATGTGCCAAAAATATCAGCATTATAGTCCACGATAACATGAAAAACTGCACGTATACATGCAAAACTTTCACTAGGGCATGACGCGCCGGAATTGCTTCAACTCTTGTCCACCTTGAGATCAATCGAGGCCTGAAATCGAAGAATATGGACATTTGGGCTGTATTTTTTAAATGTTTTATGGGGGGAAACAAAAAATGTATCAAAAAAATCGAACGATTGAGATAAGAAATTGGAGGCGTGATTTTAAGTTTCTTTATTAAGCAAGAAAATACTTAATTCACGTCAAAGTGAGTTGCACAAATAAATTAAAATTGGTACTTTTCAACCTCAGGAAGTTGATTTTAAATAGAGTCGTTCTATTCACACGAATCACAGTTTTCTCACTTTGACCCAGAACATGTGACTGCACTTATCAAAGTATTGAGGTAGAATTAACGAAGAAAGTAGAGCTCATCCAGTATTTCTCCCAAAATCCCGTTAGATGCTCAAATGTACTTCATGTATGTAACTTTCCAGTTAAATAACGTCCCATCCCAACCAATAAGACATTGTCAATCCTTATGTTACGGCTATTATATTAGGCTTAGTGCAAAAGGACAACTTCATTGTTTTCCCATGGCCTGTAGGATCACCAGATCTGTCGCTTATTGAATATGTCTGGGATATGATGATGCATACAAAGGATTTTATTTAACGAGAACTTCATCATTCGACATATCCAGTACTAGAACTTTGTCTAACAATTCTAACCTAAATCAAGATATTTTTGCTTTTTGAAAAGGTAATTTAGTCGTTATTATAATATCTCAAATACATTATTGTGAATTATGTTACCTTATCTCGAAAACTGCCAACATGATCAGAAATCGCTGAGATCCGACATACAGAAAAACGTCATTTACTTCCTTCCTTTAAGTACAATACCATGTATACTTTCACAATTCTAGATTCTTCTGTCAGTTCTAGATATTTTTTACTGTAGGAATTCATCTTTAACTGTTTTTGCTTGCATATTTAATCTCGCAAATAACAAATAAAAACTAAAACTAATGAAATGTTGGAAAATATGAAAATTCTGGTTAGATAATATGCTCTATTTACCGCATATTTCAGAAGATCTCCGTAAAGTTAACTAATTTTGTGCGACCTTGTTTGAGCTTAAGAAAACCTTTGATTTTCCATGTTGCCAGGCGATTTTTGCGGCGAGTCTAGAAAGTGTCATTGTTGTTTTTTCTAAGAAATATGTTGATGCATAGAGTTTTCGGTGCGTGACATTTTTCTTATATAAATGTCAACAAAAGTCACGTACAAAAGAGGAGATTTTTTTTACCATTTTAGCTAACGAAAGGAATTGTACGTGATATTTTCAGAACTTGGAAATTTGTGACATTTCTGATGATGATACGAAATTCGAATGGACAAACATTTATGTAATAATTCTAGCCTTAGTAAAAACGACTCATCGAAGACAGATAAGTCCGTCACTTGGTCACGAAGAAGCAGAAAAATCCTCGAAGCTAGAAAAAAGAAGTACAAGAAAGCTGAAGCAGATGACTCCAGTCAGTGGAGATTCAGAATAGTATAACTGTATATAAACCCGTATTTAAATAATAATAATATACCCCAAAGTAGCATCGATTTACGGATTTATATATAGCCCAAGAAATTTATGGGTTTTTCAAAAAAATTTGCGAGGGCAGGCTGATTGGAGACTGTGTCCTGAGTATTGAGCCAAAAAATCACACTCGAAAGCCTTGTGCGTTCGGCCCTATTGGCCTTTTTCTTATTTTTTTTTTTTCGACAAAATGACCTTAACAAAACTTGTAGATAATAACCTTCTGATCAACTTTGCCCCATGCCTTTTTTTGCTAGCTATTTTAGTTTAGGCGTTGCGGCCATTCTAGTGCTCCAGAATTCGCAAAAAAAATTAAATAGCCAACCTGCAGATTATTGTTACTTTGATAAAATTACTGGTAATGTACTCCATTACGTTTTCGATTTCAGTCCAAGAAATGATACATTACATCACTAATCCGGTGAAATTATTTTCCCGGAGTAAAAGCGTGAAATCGAAATGATGTTTTTTTTTTGACAATACTGGGACCTGTTACCTGTTTGAAAAGTGACAAAATTGTTTTCTTCTACAATCGGCCTAGAAAGTAGACTTTGTCGATTAGTAGTATAGAAGACATTTCCTGATGACCTCCACTCTGCCGCTTTAGAGCGTCAAACTACGTCAAAATCCTTCAGTTTGTCGCTCTAGAGCGGCAAAGTAGTAAAAGCGCTTGCTTTTACTACTGGTTTCTTTGAACCTGAACTATTTTTTATCAAATGCGATTGTAAAAAAAATCAAGTGTCAATTTGCCAATATCAACAATATCAACAATATCTTTCGATTGGGCTCTTAATACACAAATAGCTATTGTGCAACCGTTCGCGAAACGCCATATTTTGCTTGCAAAATGTGTCAAATCCTTAGAAACGCTATGCATGCCACAATGTCCACCAGGTCAAATAAAATTTTTCAAACGTACAAACCAAAGAAATAAAGTTACAATAAAATATCATCAAGCAAAGTAATAGAGAATTTTATTAGCTATAATAATCTGCAGGTTTGTTATTTAATTTTTTTTGCGAATTCTGAAGCACTAAAATGGCCACAGCGCCAAAAGTAAAATAGCTAGCAAAAAAAGTCATGAGGCAAAGTTGATCAGAATGTAAGTATCTACAAGTTTTGTGAAGGTCATTTTGTCGAAAAAAAATAAATAAGAGAAAGGTCAATAGGGCCGAACGCACAAGGCTTTCGAGTGTGATTTTCTGGCTCAATACTCAGGACACACTCCCCAATCAGCCCTGGAAAAATCAGCCTGCCATCGTAAAATTTTTTCGGCCCAGGTATAAATTTCTTGGGCTAATACAAATATATATCAACTAGGTATATAATAAAAAAAAACGCAACCCTTAATTATCCACAAAGTATATATCACTAGCCAACGACAATTAATCACCAATTCTACCCAGTCATTATCCGCTGACATATAAAACCAATTTAATCACCCGAGGCGGTATTACTTGCATCTAAAAGTAGTCGCGAGTACTTCTTGCAATTTTCACTAATACTCCAGTCGAACGGTTGTTTTGCTCTCGCCAAGAACTACCGTGCAGCACGTGCGTCTCTTGCTCGGCGGTACGATCCGGTGAATGGGTAGTACGACCGGTACTCGTTTATCGAAGAAAATTATAAGTTTTTCGCGTTTGCAAGCTTGAGAATTGGAACGATTGGATTTTTTTTTTGCGATTTGGGTTGGGAAATATGTGAATGTTTTCTTGGTGGTTGCTTGTAAAATATTACCAATGATACCATGTAAGTTTAAGTAGAAATAACTGTTCTATTTATTTAAAAATTTCAGCAAATAAGTAGTTGTGAATAATAATAGCAATTTTGGCATTTTGTCCAATTTAGTACCTATGTATAGATATGTAAGTTTTCGTTTTCGTTTAGATATTCGATTTCATTCTCAGAATTCATGGAGTGATTTTTTCTTATTCAGGAATTGAACCATGAGGTCAAAGTTCCATGTGAGAGTGAAGATTATTAAATTATCCTATATTCCTGTCATTTACAAAATTATCAGATTGCCTATGAAAAGTATCAAATTCCTTGTCAACTTCGGTACCTATAATTATTATGTCATTTGACCAAATATGTTGCTGTCAAATATTAATTGTTTTTGGTAAATATTTGAACGCCGTTTAAGTTAGTGCGTGCAAATTTCGTAATTGCTCTTTAATTTTAATGTGTTGTCAAATATATTCAAATTTCAAAGCAAATATAAAGCAGTCATCCTTGGGTTTTAAAAATGAATAAATGTTGGAAATGAGAAATTTTATTTTAGGAAATTAGCATTTGCTGAGGTTGATGTGGCAGATAGAATGTATGTACAAAATAACTTCTCAGTTTTTGCACATTAAGATTATTGATTTGAGATTTACAAGAACAATGTGGTTGGTATAGTATATGTACAAATAACCTCTCAAGGATATTCATCAACAAGTGAAATAACTCCATGGTGCAATTATTGTATCTTGGAGACCAGTTTATGTAGAAATATAGAGCATTTTATGTTGATATGCGGGTGAATACAAAATTATTCACGCGGTTTTTTATTAATTCTTGAATACCGAATGGATTACCAATATAGATTACCTCATTTGAAAAAAAATGTATTCGGCAATCTTTGGTACGTACCTACTCATTATAAAAATATCAGTTGCGAAAAAAGAAAAGCTTTGTAGTTTTGATAGGATTTGATTGAATCCTATGTTATTAATAGTGTAAGAAGCAGTTCCTCCAGTTATTCGGGTGCCAAAAATTTGAGGGATAATTCCACTCATTCTTTTGTTTGCCGGACTCAGCCCCCTTGGAGCATTATCTGGTGGTGCTGCTGGCATTGCACCAACCCATTCCAGCAACCTCCCAATCAGAGATGTCACTATTTAATTAATTTTCATCTATTCCACGATTCATAAGTATTCACGATAAAACCTGCAGTTGTTTTTGAACTGCTTGACTCGTCTAGTTTCATATTTCTGTTGAAGAATTTATTCAAACATAATCTATATAAAATATCAAAAAGCAAAATTGCAATAATTTAGATCAGCATTCTTTTCATAACTCGAGCCAACTTCTTTTTTCCAATATCCGTCGGTTCTAGTCTAGAATGCTCATGCATTTTAAACGGAGGAATTCTAATCATATGCTATGGGTATATGGTTACTAAACACAAACAAGTAATTGCCAACACTCAAACCGTATTTATTATGAATGTAGCACTCGTTTGGTATTGCCAATCGGTTATATAACCGGGACCGGCGATTATTTCGACACCGAAAAAACTAGTGAGTGCCTTTACCATTTCGTTGAAAATGTTCAAGCCTTATCGGTATTCAGGTGTTTCTATAGTCATTCATGACAAAAATCTTGAATTTGCTAAAATAATTGAAGAATCTTCCCAATAATGCATTCGTATTAAAGGTGCGTTCTTCTTTTCTAACCTAGAATCATATGCCCTTTACTATTGGCTACTATCAATATTCTATGGTATCCAATTTTTCAATAGCTTGCCTCACGTATTTTCCTGGCCCATGTCATCGAAACTTTATTTATTACATCAGCTTTACCTTTCACCAAGAGGTCTTCTTTATAAATGACCTACTTTGTCGTCAATGCAGTCTTAAGTTAAATCTAGTCTACAAGATTATTTCAAGGCCACGCATCTAAAATAATATGCACTTAGTTGAACTTGCTATTCAATCAGGTATTACGTTATACTGTTGGTTTACTAAAGAGCACATAAAAGGTGAAATTGACTTTCTTGCCGGTGAACTTGTATCGACTTATGTGCGCACGTTGTTAGATAACAGAAAATAATGAAAACTGCCGCGACATTGACATCGATGGCCCTCAAGTGAGTATGTATTTCAATGTATTGAAGCGGATGGTTATGGAATAAATTATATGTTCACGCTTGGATAGAATTCAAGTTTGTTTCCTGAATTGTTTGTGCCATTGAAAGTACATAGGTATATGAGATTTTTGATGCACATCGTCATCAAATTGGTACTGATTCTTCTGCAGTATTGCCCAATTCATCTTACATTAGAGTCGATTTTTCTTTTGCAATGTTTGCATATCTTGTAATTCCTTTTATCATTATTATTGATTTGATAATAAGATAAAGCAATATTTATAGTGTACTGTGTATAAACAACAACTACATTTACTTTCAAGGATTTTCTTGTCCTGATACGACCACGTTTGTTTAGATTTAGTACCTTGTAGTATAACATACCCGGGTTCGTTCAGCAAGATTGAACGGTTAACAAATCTTCTGAAAAACTAAATGAAAAGCAAATAGAACCTACGTTGTCGAAACTTACTCAATTTCACTTACTTGACATGCGCCCGACAATACCAAAATTAGGGAAATTTAAGGGAAGTTGTGATATGTAAAATAAACGCAAAATTTGTGAAAAGTCTAATTTATTATTAAAGAAAACCGTACCGTTCTCGACCTGGAACTCGCGAGGGGAAAGGGCACGGCAGAGAAACCCGCGATCTACATTCCTCAAAAATCAAAACATACTGTCTCATTTCAATAATAATTTAGGTCAATAATTATTTGTAACAAGTTTAAGTTAGGTATCGTCCTTGTCCTTCTGCTAAAATTTTAACTCCACACACTACATTCAATCAACAACACCTATATTTAATACTGAAGAGTTTTTTGGTTAGTTAGCCAGTCTGCCAGCAGGTACTGAGGTCCCATTCGGGAGACTTCTTAACTATAGTTGTTATTTTGAGCCAATATCTCTAGACTGATCTTTCAATTTGTTTGCTAGGATATTCGCTCGTCAAGGTAGGAAAGTGTTAGTAGATTCAACAAGGCCCTAATGAACGCTCTAAATACCAAAAATTAAAATGCTAGCACGTTATTTCTAAGGTTTTAATTTACTTTTTATCTTCGTTGTTCACAGCCTGAAACGATTTTTGTTAAATACATGAACAATCGAGTGAGCAATGCACATGTTATAAAAAATGTTATAAAAAAAATAATACTTATATAATTTGAACTCTCAAAAACAAATAATATTAGGTTTGTTCGGACTTAGTTCTGAATTGAACTGCGCTTGCGCATTTGTTCATATCAAACAAAAATAAACAAATGCGCATGAGCAGTTCAATTCAGAACTGACTCTGAACTAAGTCCGAACAAACAAGGAACAAACCTATTTATTCAACTAACCTGTGAATTGGATTGAACAATCAGTTTAATACAATATAAAAATCGAATAATGAACAATGGCGGACACTTAGCTTGTTCTCTAGTCTCTCATTTTCTCCTATCTACCCTGCGGTACCTTTCTGTGGCGCGCCCTCGTTCCCATAAATTTCACAGCGCATACATGGTTGCAACATTTACCATTTGCTTTTCTATAGTAAACATTTTTTAAAAAATTTAGAATTTGAAGAAGTAATATTTTAAATAGGTGGTTTTCCTCAACCTACCTACTTGATCGATAAGGTTTGAATATTTTTATAGTATGCTATATAAATAGTATGACATTAATTTATATTTTTGAGAATTTGGATATTCTGTGGTCACTGTTAACAAAATATGTATGTGTATGTGAGTACTTTCATCCGAGTATGCTCCCATGTGCTGAGGATAAAGCCCGGGAAACATCTATCATGCATTCTTCCGATCCGACTCCGATCATACAATCAGGGTCCTTATTCTTGGAACAGAGAGCAGTGTTCCCAGGCGTTCTCCTGGGAACGCTGCTCCCCTGTTCCAAGAATCCTTAATTGTATGATCGGACTCGGATCGGAAGAATGTATGATAGATGTGTCCCGGCCTTAATACGAAGATATCAAAACCTTGACTTTGCCTAGATATCAGGTTTGAAGTTGTTTGAGGCCGGGACACATCTATCATGCATTCTTCCGATCCGACTCCGATCATACAATAAGGACCTTGCCTTATTCTAGGAACAGGGGAGCAGCGGAACACTCGTTCTCCTGGGAAAGCTCCCTGCTCCAAGAATAAGGACCCTGATTGTATGATCGGAGTCAGATCGGAAGAATGCATGATAGATGTGTCCCGGGCTTTATTTTGATACAAAAGTTGCTGAAGTAAAATAATTATTAAATGTTACTCAGGAATCGAAACTGGCGAAAATGGACCAGAGGACAGGGACACTACTCTCTTCCGACCTCTAAAATGTCAATTTTGACGCATAATATTGAACATTGAAGTATTGCTATTTGATGGACCACCATTTCAAGAATCTCTTCATCTTTACCCCTTGACTTGAGGCCGGTTTACATTTTGTTAACTGCAAGTGTTTAGTGTCAAATGTTAATTTGACATGTTAGGGCCGGTTTATCAATAGAGGGTTATCCCATGAGTTAGGGATAACCCTGAGTCAAAGTTGTGACAAGTGTTTATCCATCCAGGGTCAACTGCTAACTCGAGAATTATTCCAGGAAAAAGTTAACCCGCGCTCTCACGGCAAGTTAGCGTATTTGACTCTGGGTTAACCTCAAAATTTTCTATAATTTTTTTGTTTGATTTTTTTTGAAATGTGGTGGTTTTGGCTTAAATTTTGAATTTCTGAACTCTGAAGACATGTAGGACCTAGATTTCAGTGATGATGATCGATAGATGAAATGAGAATTTCTAAAACATGAACGGCGCCACTACCACGTAAGATTGAGGTCAAATTCCTAATCCCTTTGACGATTTTAATGACGTCGGCACGTTTAAGCTTGCGAAAAGAAACAATTTTATTTGTTCTAGAACACATCGAGCATAGACTCGAATTCCCAACAGACAGGTAGGTACGAAAGTACCTATGCTTGTGGTTTTTTCTTCAGAAATTTTCTCTTTATATCAAAACATTATTTTACACAGAATAAGTACACGAAACCCAAGGATGATACACACTACTAACTACCTACTACTAAAATTAAGATGGCCTATCCTCAATCCTCATAAGGCCTGTGTGAAACAAATCCCCCCTTCCTCTCCTTATTCCACGAAACCGAACTTCTCGTTACGGAAATGGAAAAAAAATAGAAAAAAAATAATATAAATAAGTAAGGTTATAAGGTTATTAGGAGAAAATGTCGAAAAAACAATAAAAGTGAGCTGGCAACGTTGCATAAGTATTGCCAACCTTCGAAGAACCCGAGAGTTTACCAGCCCTAGGTTAAAAAAGCTTGGATAAACACCTATCGACTTGACTAGGTAGTTAGCCCAGAGTTAGAATTGACCCAGGGTCAGCAAACTCTACGAGTTATCCCTTGATTGATAAACCGGCCTTGAGTGTTATTAAACAGAAAAATAGAAGACGATTTGTAGCTTGCACTTCATCACTTAACACTAATAGTCCAGGAGGCAGTGAAATTTTCGCTAAAATTTTCGGATAGTGAAAGTGAGTCTGGCTGAAAATTTTCGGATCTTCAATTTTTCACTTGCCAGACATCCATACTCACAGATTAGCCGGACTATTTTTTTACGTAACTTCAGTATACTTCTCATTAGTAGACCTATTTTTATCACAGAAATAAAAGGGCCGTGCATTCGTAAGCTTTAATGCATTTTGCGCCTCAACCCATCGGAAAACCCCCCCTAAAAATATATGTATTTTGCTTAGAATTACTAACCCTACAATTCTATCCATGTTGTCTGACTGGGAAAATGCGTACCGAAAATCGTCACTGCCTCCTAGACTATAATGAATTGACAGATCTGTTTACATTTTGACAACTGAACACTAACACTACACAACTGCACTTGCTACTTATCAAAGTGTAAACCGGCTTTTAGATTCGAGATTTTCTTTATCAATATTAACGATTCATCATCTTGCTCAACACTTACATGTGTAGTGGCCGTTTGCACCGACCATTTTGAGGAAGCCTTAGCGATAAGTATTCCTTAAAATGACATTTTTACATGGAGAAATGTCACTTTAAGGAATACTTGTCGCTAAGGCTACCTTAAAATGGTCGATGCAAACGGCCATAGGTAGTTTAAACGTTGAATTTAGTGTTAATCAACATAGTTCTTAAGCATTTCGCGACTTTCTTCACTTTTTCCCAGATATTTACCAAAGATCGCTTTAGGATTCATGCGACTTTGATTGAAAACACAAAGGACTACAAATGACGTTGCTGAAGTTAGCATTTTTCCCGGTAACATGCCGGTCAAAATTAGTTTTGAAAAAATCCCGAGAAAATTGATATTGTCTTATGAAATTCCCTGAAGACTTGAATCTTTACAATATTTAATTTCAGCAGATTGATTGAAAAAAAAAATGAAAATGTTCCATCCGACACTGACGTCCGTTTCCAATACAGCTTATTTTGTGCAGAAATGATCGATGACGATCTCTAATTTCTCTCGTCTAAAGTTCTTTGGCAATAGCTGGGAAATTGATGACAATTTAATTGGATAGTCTCACATTGAGAAAATCGGTAAGCAAGTCGAGAGGTTTGTTCACATCTTCACATCGAACTTTTTTTAAATAGGGCATTTCAGGATAGTCGCATATTAATAATCAAGTTAATAATACTGGGTGATACAATAATAAAAGTGAAACTTTGACATCCTGCAGTGCACTTTAGGGCTACATGTTCCTATCTCAATTTTTATGAAAATTCGAGGTCTGTCACCTGTCAAGGGTTGTCGGTCGAATATACGGACATCCTGTATAAATCTGCCCTACTCCCATTCATTCCAATAACTACCCTCAGATATCCAGATCTCTGGATTTGGTATATAGAAGGTTTATCAATATCGTTTTTAGGTATCATAAAATGTAATCAACTTTATTCACTTTTCACGTTATTTCCGTCAAAAGACACACGTGCGCTTATCGCAGATGATGGGTTTCTTTCAAATCGTTTCGGCAATCAACGCAATATCTTGCATAACATTATTAATTTTAATAAGACGGGCAACAAGTAAGTAGAGCGCGTTATTATGACGTCCATTAACTTATAGAAATTGGTTTCTAGGTGAAATTTAAAATTTTCATATGACGATGACCATTGTTCGATTACACAAACATACTGATATTACTTAAATAAATTTGTCTTGTATGTGTACGATACCTGCCTATTCAACTTTCATCGTTGAGGATTTAGAAGGCACTCTTATTGCAAATGGTTCTTACCTAGAAAAAAAGAAAACAATAATTAAAATTTTAATAAATATTGTAGGTACCCTTAAACCCATTAGGTACTATTGGAGTTATCGAAAAAGGATTGTAATGATCTCAGATTAAAAGCAAATCCCATAGTACAGGGGTTGATTTATCACTCTCTCCCATTAAAAAATAGAGTATAGCCCAGCGAATGTTGTTTCCGCCGATCGGCGTTTGTCAAAGATTATGTATTTAAATAATTCTAAGTTTTGTATAGGTATAGTTTTCTTCATTATTTCGAATAAAATTTATATCTACTTGTTGGAGAAGTAATATCACGATTCACTACCACAATATATGAAAATTTCAAACTACCTACGTTTCCGACTATCGCCAATCAATTTGGCAATACCGAAGAAAGTCCACAAATACAGTGGCCAGCAGGAAGGTTACTTTCGGAATTCGACACGGGTTTTTTCACAAGATTAAATAACTCTTCACCTTTATATTCTTATTTCTCTTACCAATTTACATTAATGTTTTTATCCGTTACATAATATTGATTTAATTCGAATTTAACACTAATACACTTTTTTATTTGTTCCAGGAACAGAAGATAGTGGCTACCAACAAAATAAAAATGGAAAAAAAAATAAAAAAAATCGCTAGAAATATTTTCTCCATTTTAAATTCATCCATAATAAATTCAACGGCTGAAAAATATAAAAAATTTGTGCGTTTATAAACCACAATAGTTAAAGGTTGCCATAAGAAGGTAAATCTAGTCAAAATATTTCGTGCCAAAATTGAACCAAAACAAAATTGTGATAGAATAAATTTTCGTGTTGAGAGACTTAAATACAAAAATGGCAGTGATAGCAGTACCAACCATTGCAACAGCAATCAAGGCAGGAGTGGGTTTAGTAGGTGTTGGAAAAATTGCAGTATTACCGTTTCTTATTGCTGCTTTGAGCTATTTTCATTACGATCAGTTTGATCCAGAAAACAGACCAGTAAGTAAACCAGAAACTGTTTAGTCTGCATGTTGCAATCAACCCATTGTCTTGGTTTTAGGTTGACAGAGACGCCGATCCAAAGTACGACTTCATAGTGATTGGTTCTGGATCCGCAGGATCCGTAATGGCAAACCGTTTATCGGAAATATCCGACTGGAAAGTTCTTTTACTGGAAGCCGGCGGGCATGAAACCGAAATATCTGACGTACCAATCTTGAGTTTGTATTTGCACAAAAGTAAACTGGATTGGGGATATAAGTGAGTAGTTTGGGTTAGTGAATATATGAAGTTATGAATATTTTATTTGTTTAGGACTGAAGCACAACCAACGGCGTGTCAAGCCATGATAGAAAACAGATGCAGTTGGACAAGAGGTAAAGTGTTGGGAGGATCTAGTGTTCTGAACACTATGTTGTATATCAGAGGAAATAAGCGTGATTATAACAGGTAATGTAATTGAAGATAAGTTTTTTGCTTCCAAACATATGGAATTTTTTTTTAAGGTGGGCAAGTTTTGGTAATGAAGGATGGTCGTATGAGGAAGTGCTACCTTATTTTAAGAAGAGTCAGGATCAAAGGAATCCCTATTTAGCTAAGGATACCAGACATCATGCAGTAGGTGGGTGATTGTAGATATAATACTCTGAATAAAATATATTCTAATAGCAATTCCTATTATCACAATTTCTGGTCAGCGTGGCGAATGTAAAATGAAAAGTTGAAACATAGGTAGTACCTTGGTAGTACGCTTTAAAGCAAGATAATTCCATTATTAAGCTTTCTCATGAAACGTATTGAAATTTATAGAAAAGGCACACGTCAGATTTCAAAAAGTATTGCATTTGGTACTATGTAGATAAAATAAAAGTAGACGAGATTGTTGCTTTATGTCTCAAAAGTGTTGGATAAAAATACCAGAGCTTTTGATTTATTGAAAGCTCTCAGCTCTTAAATTGCGTGTCTCAAGATCTGAATGTTGTTCGTTTGGGAGCAAATTTTTAACGTGTTACTTTCTTCTGTTGGTGGCCTTGCCCTAACAAATCTTGCACACATAATTTTAATAAATACTACCTACTCTCATAGAATCAGGTAATATACATAATATAAGGAAAAAACAAGTAACATGACATCAATATTTAGAAAACTAAGTATATGTGCCTTACGTTTTCAGGAGGTTATCAAACAGTTCAAGACAATCCCTACAATACACCACTGGGAATAGCGTTCCTAGAAGCCGGACAAGAAATGGGTTACGATGTCAGAGACATCAATGGGGCCAAGCAAACTGGATTTGCTTTATATCAATTTACAATGCGGCGTGCAACTAGGTCAGTATTTTGAACCCCTTTCCCAATAATAGCTCTGTAATATCATCGTTAATATTTTAGATGCAGCACGGCCAAAGCATTTCTACGACCGATCAGATTGAGAAAAAATTTCCATTTGTCTCTGTACAGTCACGTGACGCGGATTTTGATTGATCCCACTACGAGAAGGGCCTATGGTGTTGAGTTTATAAAGCATGGAATAAAACATGTAAGTGACATAGGTAATAATGAATAGCGACTAATACATAAATTTTTAATAATTAGTATATTACATGCGGAGGTGAAAAGTGTTCCATTATTGTCAAAACATACTATGGATGGTTGACCGATCAGGTGCGAAGCGCCGAGGTCAACCAATTCTCGAGACAATATAATATGTGAAAACTTTCCACCGAAATATGTATACTATTTTATTTTGAAGCATTAATTATAGAAAAAAAAATAGGGTAAAAGTATGACAAAAATGGAATTTCGACTGACACTCTTACACTTATGGAATTTCAACAATATAAACACATGTGACATCTACTTCTAAATGCAACGTTGCACCTGGATTTGTGTTTAGGTGTGAAACAACAATTTAGCAGGCCGAAAATGAGTTCTCCAGGCCGAAAGTGACAGGAGAACTGTCACTTTCAGCCTGCTTCAAAGTAATAGTATATTACATACCGAGGTGGAAAGTGTTTCGAGATTTTAGTTAGACCTCGGCTGCGCCTCGGTGTAACTAAAATCTCGAGACAGTAATGAAACTTTCAACCGAGGTATGTACAGGGTCTGTTCCTTATAATTAGTGCGGCTCCTACAACCTAAACAAAAAAAAATACAAAAAAAAGTTGAACACAAAAGTTGTACATGTCAAAATGGGCAAAAGACAGTTGGCACCTGCCATTTGCCCACTTTGACATGTGCAAAACATAATAGAGATAAAACCCTACAACTTTTGTATTAAACTTTTTTTTTGTATTTTCTTTTGTTTAAGTTGTAGGAGCAGCACTAATTATGACGAACAGACCCTGTACCTATACTATTTTATTTACAATCATTCGAATTTTGTAATTTTTACTTGAATGAAAACTAAAAAAATACAATAAATAGCAATTTCATTTACTTTCGGCCCACGGAAGGAAAGTAAACTTTCGACTCGTGGGTGGAAAGTAAAAGTCAAAAAAGTGACATTTTTGAACTTTCTAAAAGTCAGAAATGTCAACATTATATGTATGATTGTAAATAAACAAATGATAAATGACATTTTTGAAACCTTGAAACCAGTAAGAAATGTGAAAATTACATATATGGATCAAAATCAGGAATAATTCATAGGAACATTTATGTTTTACCCTAATGACTTTGGCATAAAATTCTAAATTTTCCTCCCTTTAGTCTCATAGCCAGAAATGTCCTTGATATTTGTTGCTTTTATTTGCTTTATGTTTTTGAGAAAAGTGCTAGAGGTCTTCCTTCTTCATTGAGTGAAGTCGCGACTTCATAAGGGTCCCTGGTTCGTCGACATCAGATAATAAGGACTGGCCAGACGAGATTAGTCTTCAACCCACCGACTTCGACTGACAAACTGCCAAATAGATCACAAGTGAAGACAAAATCCGATGTGCGGTACTAAGCCTCTTTCCCTCTAAATCGCTCTGCTCCTGCTCTGACGGCATATGTCCAGCACCTGAGGACATAAGATTCCAAAATATTGTGATTATACAAGATTTTGCGAGAAACTGATCGATGTATATTCTCGAAAAAGCGTGGAATGTATTCCGAATAATGAGCAAACATACCAATGGTTCTTTCAAGTGATCGAAAGTCTTGATGTTATGGTAGTTCAAGTCTCTCGACACCAGATTTTAAAGTTTGATTTTTCATTGGTATTAAGATAATAGATGCCTTAGAAGTTTGATGGAAAATACTGTTATAAATTTCTCTCTGCTTCAAAAGCTGTAAATAACCTTTCAACTGCAAATCTTCAGTATGTTGGTACGTACAAATTTTGCCTTAATACGTAACTGAGATTCGAATGAATTCGGTAATTAATTCAAGTATTTGTGAGGGTATTTATGAAGCTTTATACCTGAGGTTTAATATTTTTCGATGATTGATAAGTTTCTCATTGGATTCTACTGGATTTCTGCCTTTTTGTTTGAATGCGAAACACTATGTGGGTGTTGAACAAGGGTATATTTTTCAAGGTAATACTGAGTTTGTTTGTTTACTTCCAGATAAATATCAATTGGCAACACTTACAAGTCTCGTATTTTCCATTATTAAAAATTCTGCAACACCACATAACTTTCACACCCTTTAAATCAGTGTTTCACCCTTATTTCCACTATTATTTACATTTTCCCTGTTATTTATTTCCGCCGAATAAGTGTGGTTCTGGGAGACTTGTTAATTCGTTTCAGGCAGCGCTGTTGCCAAAGTTTCTTGACCACTGTGGGTAATAGAGTCACTGTAGTTGCTACCACTGAACGAGTGGTCATTTTGATGGTTTTTTAAGCTAAAGACTGTGTGGATGATGATTACTAATTAAATAAGTAGTGTTAGGGGAGAAAATTGGATAACAATTTTGAATTCTCTTGGTCATCAATGTGGTTTGGATTGTTTGTTTGTTTCGTTTTCCTGGTCAAGACCGGAAATCTGGCACCAGAGGGCATCTTGAAAAAAATAGAATTCTGGTAAATTTTTCAAATGAGCTCACCTGATGAATTGCTGAAAAGAAGGTTGTTCTCCTTAAATTCGCACGTTGAGCAAGCAACAAGTAGTTGGCAGATTTTACCAGCGGTCCTCTTGCTGCGTTCCTTGGAACATCCACCTTTTGTGGGATTTTAGAGCCGTTGGGAACTCAAGTGGTTGCTGGGTTAATTGGTTTTGGGGTGAAAACTTGGATTTGGTCGTAAGCCCCCGTATTTGTAAGCCAACCACTCAACATTTTCTGGAAACGAAATCTACGCCATTTTGTTAGTTTGTCGTGTGAGCAGAGAGCACGCTTTGCTCAACTAGAAGCCCGATTTGTAACTATAGGGTTTTAGGATTTTAGATTTTACTTTACCATTGAGTTCTTCCTTTTCGACAGTTTGCTAGTTTCGAAGGTGAGGTGTCAGATTACCCACAACACTGAACTTGAAACCGAAATTTACGCTATTTAAGAAGGGAAGTCAAAGAAGTTGATGGGGTCTGTGAGGCTGTCATGAGACAGTAATGGAAATTGATAATGGATGTTTAGACTGCAGGGAGGACCACAAGGGGATGATGTACCCATTGATTTAACAATATTTCTTAATTATCATTTTTTATCATTATTAATAGTTCTTCTTATATCTAACTTGGCACATTTCCAAGTTTGTTTTACTGCCTTCATTATTACAATGAGTGTACTGCACCAATGTTTATTAATGTACTATATTTAAGGTGACATTTTTGTACAAACCCGACCCGGTATACTATTTATTGACCAAAAGTTTACAGAAAAACCACAAAAATTAGGAAACCAAAATCATCAGTCAAGGCTAGGTCATTAGCATTAGACCATGCGGATCTGTTGAAATTTTTTTTGCAATCAAAATTTATGACTTACCTAATTAGTGACCTGAAATTTTTATTTGATTTGTTTTCCATTTCACAATTGTTAATGGCAATTTAATTAAAATTGAAATTATAAGGATTTGTCTCATTTTTAGAAAATCTTAGCCAAAAAAGAAGTCATTTTATCAGGTGGTGCCATCAACAGTCCACAACTTCTAATGCTAAGCGGAGTAGGACCAGCGCAAGACCTCCAAAGTCACGGTATCCCAGTCATTCACGATTCACCTGGCGTAGGAAAAAATTTGCAGGACCACATCGCTGTGCCTATCACTTTTTTGATTGATCATCCCATTTCTTTGGTGAGATCTATCACTCTATTGACTTCTTTTTTCATGTAAATATTTTTAGGTCCTCAACAGATTAGTGAACTTGAACACAGCCCTCCGATATGCTATAAAGGAAGATGGTCCATTGACTTCGTCAATTGGCTTGGAAGCTGTTGGATTTATCCCAACCAAGTATGCCAATCGATCAGACGACTGGCCCGACATGGAATTTATGATTCTGAGTACTACAACTGCTGCTGATGGAGGTAACCAACATCCATATAGTAAAACATTCAACATCATGATCTACCATCCATATAGTAACACATCAACATCTACGATCACTCTGGTTTATTTGGTGATATGTCATGTCCAGCCTATCGTCTCTCCTCTATATCGTGGTATTAATTTAAGATATAATATATCTCGGTACCCATTAAAGACATTGAGATGAAATTTCCAGGCATTATAGCTATAGCATAATACTGTCAAGCCTATATTCTATCACAAATTCTTTCAGGTTCTCAAGTCAAAAAGGCCCACGGTCTTACAGACGACTTCTACAATGCCGTTTTCAAAGACATCAACTATCGTGACACTTTCGGCATATTCCCAATGATGTTGCGTCCCAAAGCGCGTGGAGAAATCAAATTGCGTTCCAAAAACCCTCTGGATTATCCTTTATTGTATCACAATTATTTGAACAATCAACACGACGTTAATGTCCTAAGAGAAGGAGTAAAGGCGGCTATAGCTTATGGAAGTACCCAAGCGATGAAGAGGTTCGGTTCCAGATACTATGAAAAACAGAACCAAGTACCGAATTGTAAACATTTACCCGCATATACTGACGAATATTGGGATTGTTTTATTAGACAATACACTTTATCGATCTACCATTATTCTTGTACAAATAAAATGGGTCCTCAAGAAGACCCGTACGCTGTGGTAGATCCACAATTGAGAGTTTACGGTGTTTCTGGATTGAGAGTAGTGGATGCCTCAATCATGCCAACGATACCGAATGGTAATATTAATGCTCCTACTATTATGATAGGAGAAAAAGGAGCAGATATGGTTAAAAGTTATTGGCTGGGCTTGGGGAAGAAAAAGAGAAAAAGAGATTTAAGTGATCAGCATAATCCGGAGGTTATTTATAACGCTAGGGTAGTAGATGAGGGTCGTATCAGTAGAGTTGTAGTGTAGACATATAATTTATTACATATTAATAATAACATGTAGATGAAATGAAATTATCTATGAGATTAGCCACAATAACTGGCGTAGACATTTAGACATTAGTCACTGTAGAGCAGTAGCGCAGGGAGAAATTTCACTTATAGAGGAAGGTTAACTACCAAAAAACTTCGCCTGCATATGACTTTTCTCGGTGCGCCCCTGCTTTAAACTTTTTTTGAAGTAACAATCAGTGCAGAAACAACCTCATGTGATTTTCATAATTTTTTTTTAGACTGACAGAAAAATAGTGTTAAGTTACATAAAAGACAAATATGATTGTAAAAATACTTTAGTTAGAAACACAAAAATATTTACTTAAGGAGATATTCTGGTCAAGTATTTCTAGTAGAAAGTTAATTAGATATAATTTTAGGGTAGATTTTTGTAAATCATTTTTAGAGATTTTTAGGACATTCTTAGGATGTATCGAATTCTAGAAGCCATATTTTTTTATCAAAATATTTGCGTTATCAAATAATATTTATAAAGTTTAGATAATAATTTGTATGATAGGATTCTGATCTAACACCTATGTTGCTCACAAACTGTAAATAGTAGTTTTTAGGGGATTTTTTCCTAGGGATTTATTTTTGGTAATAAACAGATAGTAGATAATATCGTTCTTATTTTTTATTTTTAGGTTTAAATTTCAACTAAATTTCAAAACTTTTTTGTTGTAGCAAACCAGGTATTTTACAGGCAGAGATTAGGGAAACTCTTGTGATTTTGGCGTCCCAATCTCAATAGGTATAGTTGAAGTAGCGCTCTTTTTCAACTTACAAAGTATACATATAGGATTGGTTCGACAATTTTAAATATCCTTTGGGCGTTGACAACTGACAAGAGTTTTGTTAACTTATGGTAACCAGTCAAAAGAAGAATTTCCACTAGTAGAGTTGTCTGCTTTGGAGATAAAGAAATTATGACAATTGAACAACATCTTCATTGAACTTCATGAATAGTCATCAAATCATTTATGAGTGGTTTTAAAAATTTTCCGACGTACCACTTGTTAATGAAATACCAGTTGCCTCAAAACTTTTGGTACACAGGTTTAGCCAATTTTTCTTGGACTGCGATTTTGAGGTAACCAATACCAATATTATCTCGGGTTGAATTGAAAATCTTCTGTCATAGTTCTACTGACAAAGGGAATGTAGTATAACATATCCGGGTTCATTCAGTAAGATTGAACGATGAGAATTTTTACCTTTTAAACAACAAATATTCTGAAAAACGAAATGAAAAACAAATAGGACCTACGTTGTGGAAACTTACTCAATTTTACTTACTGGACATGCGCCCGACATAGCAAATATTAGGGAAATTTAAGGGAGGTTGTGATATATAAAAGAAACGAAAAATTTGTGAAACGTCTACTTTATTATTAAAATAAATCGTACCGTTCTCATCCTGGAACTAGCGAGGAGAAAGAGCACAGCAGAAAAACCTTCGATCTAACATTCCTCAAAAATCGAAACATACTGTGTCATTTTCATAATAATTGTGAGTCAATAATTCAATAATTTAAGTCAATAAAAGTTTAAATTAGGTACCATCCTTTGTCTTTGTGCTAAAATTTCAATTACACACACTACATTCAATCAACACTACCTATATTCAATACTGAAGACTTTTTTGTTAGTTAGTCAGTTTCCCAGCAGGTACTGAGGTCCCATACGGGAAGCTACTCAGCTATAGTTGTTTTTGAGCCAATATCTCTAGATTGGTTATTTCAATTTGCTAGGATATTCTCTCGTCAGGGTAGGAAAATATTAGTAAATTCAACAACGCTCTAATGCGCGCTCTAAATCCACAAAATCAAAATCTCAGCACAAAAAGACAGCACATAATTTCTTAGGTTCTAATATACTTCTTTATCTGTGTTGTTTACAGCATGAAACAATTTTTGTTAAATACATGAACAATGCACATGTTATAAAAAATTGTTATAAACAAACAAAAAAAAACATAAAAATGAAAAAAATGATACTTGTATAAGTAATTGAACTCTCAAAAACAAAATAACAATTATTCAACTGACCTTACCACTCCTTGACACACACACTAATAACAAATTGGATTGAACAATCAATTTGCAAAATAAAAATGAAAATTGAATAATGAATAATTACAGACATGCGTCTAAGGGAACCAGCCCAGCTTGTTTTCTAGTCTAGTTGCGTATCCTCTATCTCTCGTTCGCAGTACCGCTCCTTATGGTCGAACGCGGTCACCCCTAAATTTGATGGCGCAAACATGGTTGCAACATTTACTTTTTATTCAGCAAACCTTTTTAAAAAGTTAAGATTCAAAGAAATAATATTTTAAATAGGTGGTTTTCCTCAGCAAATTGAACAGATTTATCATTGTTTTCACGTTCACATTTCGAATAAGAATTTAGGAGAAATCCTCAGGCTCCATTGAAAACCAAAAAAAAAGACATTGACTTAGCTGGGGGAATAGTAGGTCGCATTGAAAGATAGATAAAAACCAGCCCATCATATTCAAATGAGTAATGTAAGAAATTTAAACTTATCTTACACTTTTGTTGACAGCTGATTATGGAGGAAACAAGACAACATTTTACTTTATTGAAAAAAAAATGCTCCCCATCTAATGGCATTTTCGTTTTGTAAAATTTTATGACCAAGGTGAACCAAAACGAAACCGTTCGTATTGGATTTACAAACTATGACGTCATGACAGCTCTTGGTCATGCTGCGGGATTCAATTTTACGAGTCGAGTCGAAATTCGTATCGAATTGTCGAAACAGCAATTCTGTTTTTCGATTCTTCGATACGTAGGTATTACATGGTACATCCGAAACTATCGTATCCGATATCGAGTGTCATATAACAGACGACTCGACTCGTAAAATAGAATCCGGGACCTGAAAATTTAGGACCAGCTCGAGAGGCTAGTCCTGATTCCGGTCTTGATTTAAGTAGTAAATAAACACATTTCTGCAATTCAAAACGTTTCCTCAATATTGCCAACAGTTTTTATCAATTATCAATTTGGAAAATGTGTCTCGAGACAAAGTACACATTCTTAATATTCAATATACAGGGTGTATCAGGTTTGACTACAAAAATTTTAACACGTGAAAATATGACCCATTTTGAACAAAAAAAGTTTATACAACATGGGGTCCAAACTCAACATAAAAATTTCACTTGTAAATTGGTATCTAAACATCTGTCACGATAGCATAATAAAGTTAGGTGGTTGAACGTTGAACCTTGGTTGAACTGAATAAATTGATTCTTGATTTGTCTTGTCTAGTTGGGAAACGCGCGTAATTCAAATTCATTTTTTTTTGAAAATAAAATGTTTACAAACGTCGAATATCTATGCAGATACTTGTTTAGGCAGAATCGCTGCAAAATGCTCATTTAGCCGCCAGAATTTACAGGGAAACTAGGGAGATTTCCCAAAAGAAAAGCACCTATCTGATGAAAAAACATTGTCACATTGTGCCCGTTTTACAAAGATTGTGTGATACCGTGATCCTGAAGTGTGAGTGTGCAAAATCTGCGTGTTGATTTTAGTGTTTTGAGAACCTTCCAACAAAAATTAATATTTTCAAATAAGGAGTTGGCAAGTAGCTGAGTAAATATTATTAATATCTACCTGTACATTGTTGTCACGTTGTTAACATTTTTCTAAATTTAAATTCTGCGATAACTCCTAGAATACTAACAATTGACCCATGGTTAATAAGACAGTTTTAGCTTGGAATAGGCCATATTATCTCATGTTAAAATGTTTCTACTCATACCTGATACCCTGGAAATTCATTCCTCCAAGTATCCTGTCATAAGAACATGAACATAGAACATAATAAATTGAGGGGTTTGCAATGTTTGGATGCTAATACTGGCCGTAAGAGCAATCAATTTTGGAATAGAGGTATTCTCTGTAAACTGTTCTACAATTCTTTTTGGTGGCAAAGAGCTCATAATTGAATGATGAGAACCCTGTTTCAAAACGAATAGGAAAATATTAAATACTATAATACTTATATTACATACAAAATTATAAACAAACCAAAATAAGGTATTTGGGCATTCGTTTTATTAAATCAGTGACGTCATTAAAATCGGGCCAGCTTGAACCCCTGTTAAAAAATCCGTCATTTTTATGTCAACCAAGACCATGAACGTTATAGGCAATTTTCAGCCTGGAATGATTATTCATCGGTAAATACCGTGGTTATTCTTTTGGTTGACAACTTTGACAGCCAAGTGTGACGTCATAGCCCCCCACCACTCAAGAATCATAACCCAAGGAACTGACCGCTGAAATGATTTGGTTATAGCAGTGTAGGCTTATGATTATTATTCTTATTGGTTTTTTCGTTTCAACAACGGTTTCTTGTTAAGGTAAAAAAAAATGAAGCGAAATCTCTCGTTAGTCTCGTTTATCAAAGAGATTTTCTTTCGGGATGATCTACATGGTGAGTTCCAATGAGTGTATATATACTTCTTCCATTGTGTCAGGCCACAACACAACAGCAAAATCACAAACCACCGATACCAATCCCCAAAATAATAACAATAACATCAAAAAGCTGTAAACAAAAGATTAACCCAAGTCCAAAGCTGGGTTATAATCGGTTATAAGCGGTAAATACCAAAAGCAAATCAGCTGATCTGTGACGTCACAACTGCCTCTATTTTGGCAAAAACCGCGACAGCGGAAATTGATTTGGTTAAAACCAAATAACAATCATTTCAGGCTGAAAATCGCCTCATAAATCGAAAATGTTAAATAATGTATGCAAAATCAAGAAATTGATTAAAAGGAGAAAAGTGTTTGATTAAAAGAGAAATGAAAACCTAAAAAGTGGATTTTAGTTTTTTGAAATGTAAATAGAATATTAAATTAATTTGTCGTCTAAATATTCTCATCTCAATATTCACTGCATACACGTTAATTCGATTAAAATTCTAGACCCCATGGGCGCTCCCCATTTCACTTTGCATCGCTTTGATATACCATTTCTGGTGAAAGAAAGCTGATGATGGCCATTAGGTAATTGGGCTTCACGGCACAGTTTGCATGTTTATATCCGATACAGGAAGCGTATTATGTTCGCAAATTAACATAAAGATTAGGTAATAGTTTGTGCCCGACAAAATAAATGAATTCATTTGCATCGTGTATTTTGGATTTTCTTCTACAACTGGACATCAATACTTCTTGGTATAGTGTTTGATGAATTTTTTGGTATGGAAGATTTTTAATAATATCACATTCTTATAACAACTCAATAATTTTGATTTATGTATTTACCATATTGTTTCTATTAAACTTTCTTAGAACTGAAGCCATTAAATACGAATCAAATTATATTTATTATATTATATTAATAAATCTTCTTTACATAGAGAAAGTGACATTATTGTTGCTGCAACAATTATTATTACTCCTTATTATTCAATCGATAACCATAATACTCTAGAATCTGGCGAAATTGTACCATTGATTTACTTGAGCATCAACACTGGAAACCATCTTAAAATTTTCCTACGGATTAGCCATTGCATGCTCCATCAAAGCAAAGAAAACAGAGAAAGCAGATAACAACCATCCGATGGAAAATAAGAT